TTATCATCCACCCTATTTAATAGGAATCTATAATTGGGCTTTTGTTTCCATTAAAATAGATTTGGTGCTGACCAATAATTTATGGGCTGGCAAAAAAGAATGCTGTGGGTTTTTTTAAAAAATAACCCACATAAACTTTAGGGAATTTGTTAATATGTTTTCAACCTGGTTATAATGGTAGCATTAAAGATTTCTGTCTCAAATAATTCTATGAACATTTTACAGATGTAAATATAAAGTAACAATCGATTAAGAATAAAGAGTATAAGGTAGCATTAAATATGTTTTCCAGTTATGCATTAAAAGAAACCATCTGTTTTCTCAGTAGTTTAATATAATGATTCACCACTGGGAAATGAATTCTGACTGAAACAAGCACTTTTTTTACAGTTTGAAGTATCAAGTATTATGAGTTATGCCTAAATGGGCATTTCTGCACCTGGTGACTACAAATAGGTTAGATCTTGGAGGTTCTGTTGAGATAGGATCATCTTGTGCTATATTCTTTCTTTCTTTCTTTCTTTCTTTCTTTTTTCTTTCTTTTTTCTTTCTTTTTCTTTCTTTTTCTTTCTTTCTTTGTCTCTCCCTCTCTCTCTCTCTCTCTCTTTCTTTCCCTTTCATTCATTCATTCATCCCTATTCTCCTTTCCTTCAAGAGTTTAAGACAATACACATATTCTTACTCATTATTTTATTCTCACAACAACTTTGCAAATTAAGCTAGGAGAGTCATTCAGCACTTCATCACTTAGTCAGCACTTGTGGGAACGAGGGTTTCAACTTGGGTTTTCCCATTCCCAAGTTAATCACCATATCATGGCATTTGTCATAACAACAAAGGTTTGGGTTACATAGATATTTAAATCCATATTGTATTCCTTCTAAACACTGATGGTACGAAAGACATACCTCATACAACACCAGAAGCCCAGGAAAGTGTACCATGTTGCTTCTTTATGGCACTCAAGAATAATGGGTAATGAGACAAGTATGAGGACATTTGCATGTTTAGAGTCCTTCTATGTGGTTTGCAGATTCTTACATTAGTTTTGAAAGACAGGAAAAAATAATTATAATCATCAATATCCTGCTTTTTCGTACAGGAAAGACAGCAAACATATGTATCTCAAGCCACATGCAGAATAGAATGCATTGATTTAGTTGTTTTCAGTAGCTTAGTTGTAATGCCAGGATTTCTGTGTGTCTGCTAGAATGAAATGGGCCAATTGCATTGGGAATATAGGCATGTTTATCTTTTTAACAGCTTTTACATTTACATGTAACATAAGACCATATATTTACAAGTGATTTTGCTAGGTACAGTATATGCAGAGTAGGGCTAAACATACGCAAAAACAAAAGTAAAAATTACAGTTGCTCTGATGTGAGCAGTTTTGTAAGTAATTTAGCCTCTATTTTATTTGTTGAAAAAATGTTTCTGGTCTGAAACATTCAGAAGCTGGCTTAAAGTGTAAGACTAAAACATGATTAAATTTTAGATAACTGAAAACCTGAATAAGATGTTCAGGGAATAGAGTATTGATACTTTGCACAATATTGGCTCCAACCTACAACTTACTGGAGCAAATTAAACCATGCAAAGTAGTAAAAAAAAATATTGTACAGCACTGGAAAATTGCTATGAAATGTATTGATGAATTTAACCACAACCATCAGCTGCCATAGCTAAAAATGAGATGCTGAGAGTTGTAATTTACGAACATCTGAACAGCCACAGATTAGGGTTAGGTTCTGTATACTTTTTATCACATTGCAAGGTCAGTGGGAGTTGTAAAATGTTGGTGTAAGTATTCTATAGGGATATTTATATGGTCATACTTCCTAATTAATTAATGTTTTTATTACCACTCATTTGATGTTTGGAAAAATTCTTGTGATATTTACCTGTTACTCTAATATACCAACGGCAGTTTTCTAATGTTATAATGAGAGCCCTTTGGGTTTGGCTGCTTGATGATAATAAGTTCACAATTTGCTCTTCGCTGTTTAAGAAGGATGAGTATAGATATTGTACCTAAGTCTTTCATTATAATAACATTGCATTTTTGCAATAATGACAGTTTAGAATAGTAGTTAAGAGTTCCTATTACAACACAACTGAAATTATTTCATGATTTGAAGTGGTGCATGCACTATTGTACTGTACAGGAAAAGCCATAGCAAATTAAAACCAGAAATACTAAAGGAATGTTTGAAATAATGGCTTTTCAAAATTTCTACTCAAATGCTAACTCCTGAGTGAGAACAGGATATGACTATAACTGTTGCTAGTCTTTATAACAATTCCCAAAGATGTTTCTGAGGTTCGTCCAGTTTGTTTATCTGTGTGACATATTATGAAGGATTTTTGTTTGTTTTTTTAAAACATGATAGACTCATAAAAGGCAATGTCCCTTTTAGCAATACCAGTAGCACTTAGACTTATATATCACTTCACAGTGCTTTACAGCCCTCTTTAAATGGTTTACCATGTCAACATATTGCCCCCAACAATCTGGGTCCTCATTTTACTGATCTCGGAAGGATGGAAAGCTTGAGTCAACCTTGACCCAGTCAGGATCGAACTGCTGGCAGTCGGCAGTGAGTTAGCCTGCAATACTGCATTTTAACCACTGCGCCACCACAGCTCATACAGAATGGATTTACTTACAGAATGGATTAAATAATAACTTTCTGGACTGGAAGAAAGAAGAGGGAATGATATAGGTGTCTCACTCCTAATATAAATACCAGTGTCCAGTCTGCCAAGTCATAACTTTCCTATAAATCTGTACCAGATTGTATCCCTTGATGGCTGCTTACCACTGTGCATTTAATGGATCTTCCTCTTAGGAGAGGGGGTAGGCAACCTTGGCTCTTTTATGATTTGTGGACTTCAACTCCCAGAATTCCTGAGCCAGCCATGCTGTCTCAGGAATTCTGGGAGTTGAAGTCCACAAGTCATAAAAGAGCCAAGATTGCCTATCCCTGTCTTAGGTATATATGTTTATGATATAGCCTAAGGATTGAATTATAAAAGAGGCAAGGTCTTCCAGGAAAGGATGAAAATGTTGGATCATGAAAAAGAAAAGAATGAAGATGGGTGATTTCAGAGGTTGAAGATGGAGTGTGAAAAATGAGGGGGGGAATAGTTACAGAGGGTTCTTAAAATGCAGAAATGAAGATGAATGGAGGAGAATGGAACAGATGTGAGAATTGTAGAGGAAGAAGAATGCACCAGTTCTTTGGTTGGTGGTCAGGAAACAACCACCAGAATAATCATTTGAAAAAGAAGGCAATGTGTAAAGGAGTATATTTGGACAGAATTGAGATTTTGAATGGGTGGGGAGAACAATCATGGAAAGAATTATATGCAAAAAAGGAAATGTGCCAAAAACAAGATAAAGAACTCACTTCCTCAGAGTCTGGATTTTTTCCCCAGCTTATTGTGAGCTAATAATGCAGATGTTATATGCGTATATCAAAAAACAAAGGGCTTAAGAGTGGTGGATAAAAGTCTACACTACACAATACATACTATTCATTTTCCCCATTTAAAACCTTCCATCCCCAAAAAATGTCCACTTTAGCTATCAGCAAGTCTACGGAGACTGTTGGATCCAATTTGACTACTCTGGATTAGCTGGGTAACAAAGAGGTTGACTGTTAATTTTGTATAAATACACATAGATATATGCATATACACTGTATGCCAGTGCTCTGTGTATTTATGTTCTCACTTGAGATCCAATGTTTTTCAATGTCTCTTATTTTAATTAAAGCCCTCCATTTTATTTTAATCAGTAAAAATAAGTGCATACATATTCATATTTAGTATGCTAAATGGCACAAATTATCAGGTAATGTTTGGTAAAGTAACTAAAATTAATTGTTTGAGAGGAAAGAGCTATCTATTTCCTGGACAATATACTGTTTCTTCCAAAATTCATAGTTATTGGGTTTTGTATTACACAGAGATATACGCTAGGTATGCTGTTCAGTTAAGGTATGAATGTATATCAAACAATTAAGTTTTATTCCCCAAATGGAAGAACTGAACAGAAAAGCTTGATGCGCATAGGCTAAAATATAAACAATTGATTTTTCCACCTATTATTACTGAAGGGAAGTTCAATATACATTCTATGTGAGAAAGTAACAAACTGTAAGTCTGTTTGCACATAAACTTTACTGCTGGATGCATATCATCATCTTAGAGTACTGAAGGAAATATGCATAATAAGGATTCAGTAGCTAGGTTATTACCAACTGTGCTTTTATCCATATGCAAAACATTTATTATTATGTTTAAGAATTAGTCTGCTGCTTTTGGGGGGTGGGTGGGAAGGGTTCTGTTATCAGTCCAGGGGATATAGATGCCAATCCAAAACAAACAGGAAATAAAAGTAATCTGATAGGACCAGCAAAGTAATAGTCTCTATCCATAGTTGTTTGCCTTACTAATAATATCTCTATTTCCCTAAGCAAAACAATTATTTTACTGGATTTTATTTTTGTAGTCTCTATGGCAGCCCTGCAGAACAAAAATATGCAATGCAAAGCAGATGCCTATTTTGAAGTAAGCCCACTGAATCTAGTGGGACCTACTTCCAAAATAAGCATGTACAACATTGTAGCTTAATAAATAATAGGAAAGGATGCTGAAACCAGTTCTTGCCAACCCATTCAGCTGTAATGAAGATTTATGGAGTGCATTTTTATGCACAGTCCAGCATTTAGTGGGCATTTTAACTATTAGTATATATTTTTCAGGCAATTACAGAGGAACCAAAGGCTGATGAAATGTGCATGAGAGATTGGCCTCATTTTGCTTGTGCTAAATGAGAATTCAACTGGCTAATTAATACAATTCAGCATGTTGCATCTTGTATCACATTTGACATTTTATGCATACCAGGGGTACAGAGCCACGGGGATTCTCTTGTGACCCTTTTCTATGCTGGTAATAGTCTAATTGGATGCTTGTCCTTGTGGTTGCAGGTTGATCTCCGAGCCGCTGATGTCAAGCTAATGCGACAGCTCCTGATCATCAATGAAAGCATTGAATCCATTAAATGGATAATCGAGGAAAAAGGAACCATCACCAGCCGGGGCAGCAGCTTGAGTGGCAGCCTCTGTAGTTTGTTGGGGAGCCAGGAGACCTCCCTGAGAGGCAGCTACAACAGCTTGCAAGACTGTAGTGATGGACTGGATGGGATATCAGTGGGAAGTTACCTGGACACTTTGGTGGATGATATCCCTGGCCAGCATACTCCTTCAGATGTGGACCAGTTCAGTGACTCTTCTCTCATAGATGACTCACAGCCCCTACATAAACATCCCAAGATGGAATCCAATGAGTACTACTGTTTTGGTTAATAAAATGAAGATCTACGAGAGACACATGTGCACTTGTATTTATGATTCCTCTATGCTGCTATTCGATGTAAGCATTTTTAAAGCACCTTTAGCAAAGACAATGTACTTTAAATTTGCTCCTCTCTCTCAGTTGCTGCTCCTAGATCTTATTTTCCTTTCCTCCTGGATGGTTGCCCTCCTTTTGTTATTTTAATTTATTGTGATTTCTTTCTCCTCTTTTTTATAATATCCCATTTGACTTCTTTTTTTATAAAAATAAAGATAAAGGAAATTTATCTGCAATCCTAAGTGCATGAATGAACTTTGACTTAATTCTGCATCTTGCAGACAATAAAAGACTTCCATTATCTAAAGATTGGATTTAGTGTTGGCTGATGATAATTTCAGGTGTGATTATTATTTAAACCCTTTTTATTTTGGGCATTCAACCAAAAGAAGCTTACAAAGTGTCTTATAGAGATTAATAATGCAACTTTCCTCCTCATAAGCTTACAGAGTTACACCAAGATTCAAAAGTAAAATGGATTTGGGGGAAAGAAGAATGGTTATAATTAAAAATATAAAACTTTTCATAGCTCAGCTGGGAGTTGTCAAGGAAAATATTTCATTGATGATAATGGGAAAGCTCTGATGTTTGGAAACTTCAATGGGTCTGTAATTACTGATGCTGGACTAGTAAAAGTGGTGGAACATTGTTGAAAATGTTCTCCTGTTTATATATATAGGTGTTTGTAGGTGCGTGTGTGTATGTATATATATATATGAGAGCTAAAGAGCTTGAAGTAGCTATACTAGTCTCCCACTCTTTGTCAGCCACAAAAAAAATGAATTTACAGTGTTCACAGTATGTGACGTCTGCCTGCAAAACATGCTCCTAGATTGGAGTGAAACGCAGAACAGACTGATTTATCCTATACTTGGTAGACCGGGTGCTCCAGCAACAAATACACACACACATCATTTATTGAGTTTTAAAGGGTGAGATTTGATTTGTCCTGTTCATGGTTAGTCAGTAGAGTCAGTTGAGTAGAAAAGTAGGTTTTAATTGAGTAACAAGATAGATAGTCTGAATATTGTATGTTCTTATCTGCAACCAAGAATTTTAGGTGCCAAAATCAGCCAAAAAAATTAGATTCAGCTTATCCATGGATAGACATGATCAGATTTCTAGATTGGTGGAGGAGAAGGTGCAAGGTCTAGAGGCATGTCTAACCACTCTGAGTCTCATCCATGAAAATGAGGAATTTTTCAGAAAGGCAGTAGTCTATATCCAAGTTAAATGCAGCAAGAAAGGATCAATTACAGTGAAAAATGGTGCCCTAGAAGAAAACCAATGGCAACATATCACTCGGAGGAGAAAAAAAGTGTCCCTGTCACTGGAGTGAACAATCAATTTCATATCCTTCCCCTTGAAGAAAGCAAGCAGGCATCTGAAGTAGGGTTTTCGTCAAATATTCCAGTGATAGGAAGAAAAGTAGTTCAGTCTGTTACAAAGAGGAAGAGTCCATTAGTCCCCCCAAAAGAAAAGGGCATGTGGTGATGATTGGTGACTCACTTCTGAGAGGAACAGAATCAGCACTTTGTAGACCATCAGACAACCTAACAAGGGAGTTATGTTGTTTCCCAGTTGCAAAAATCAAACATGACCAAGAGGCTTATCCAAATAATCAAGCCTGCTGATTATTATCCCTTTCTCCTCTTTCACATTGGGACAAACAATACAACAAAAAAGAGCCTAAAAAACAAATTAAGGGAGTTATGAGCAGCTAGGCAAGAAGGCAAAAGAATTAGGAGCACAGGTGATTTCATTTCTACTTCTGACACCCAATGAGAGAACTGACTATTTTAGAAGTAACTTACCCACAAATATATATGATAATACTATTTAAAATTATTCATACATCCTGTATAGATTCATGTGTAAGTCCAACCATGAATAAATTGACCCTTGCATTTTAACCAAAAGAGCATAAAAAATAAGCTAATTGTGAAATTTATTTTTTTTTTAAATTGAGGGTTAGCTTATATCCATGGTATTTTCATGGTATTTTAGTTAACAATTTTAGGATCAACTTATCTGAAGATAGACATATACATGAGTACATATATAGTATATGACCATCATCTTCTAGCTAATTTGTCAAAATAATAGTGGTGTTTACTTTTATTATAGCTTTTGCAATACAGTAAAATTCCACTTTTATTGTCAAATAAAAGTAGAGAAAGTGGCAGAATGGCTACTTTCAACTAGCCATTAATCTCAAAGCATGAATTTGGTCTCTTTTTTGTCTTAAGCGATACAGGGAAGAAAAATTTTATCCATTCACTTTACTGATTGTCATTCCTTCTATTTTTAGTCTTTCAAGAACTAGTGTCATATATATTTGTTGGCCCCTGGTAATATTTACAGCCACAGATAACTATAATAAAAATCTATACTGTTAAACTCTCAGTGTTTATTTGTAGCCTTCAGCTGGTAAATGTTGCATCATAGGACAAGTCTTTTTATCAATGTACTCAAATGTGCTACCTTAAAGAATGCATCCAAAATCTGAGATCCATTATTTCCATGGAATTAAAATTCGACAAAGTTGTGGCCATTTCAGCACCACTGCACTTTCCGACTATACCTTCCAGAGACTCCCAGGTTATGTGTCATCAAAGAAGATGAAAGGGATATATCTCCATCCCCTTTCCCACCCTCCTCTGATCCCAGGTCCGATTGGCTGATGGTAAAACTTGAGGGGTGAGTAGTGATTGGCTGATTTGAAACAGGCCAACAGTTGAAATCGCTCAATGGCAATGGGCAGCAAGGAAAGGAGGAGGGAATATATATATATATATATATATGTAGGTCTTTAGTTATTCGGGTTTTCTCCCGCGTAGAATTAAAAGTACCTTGGCGACGTTTCGACGAAGTCACATTCGTCATCTTCAGGCTGGTGTCTTCAGCTTCGTGCTTCTAAGAGTGGTGTGTGATCGCAGCTGTTTCTTCCTTTTAACTGCCAGTGGGGTTGGAGCTGATT